AGGGCAAAGGAGGACCTCAGATTTTTTGACCTGAGCATTTAGAAAAATGGAGATGTCGTTTATGCAGATGGGGGAACTATAGTAGGGGCAGAGATTTTTGTTATCTTTGTTCATTTATTTGATAGGGAGATGGGATAAAATCACATTTTATTTTTGAGGTGCTCAGAGGAGATGTTTTGGCAGATGTCTGAGTCTGGAGTTCAGAAACAGTTCAGGAGGCAGAGAGAAGTTTTGGGTCCTGTCGGTGGCTACAGCCACAGGTGGACTGAGCTGGGTTACCGAGGAGCCTGAAGGCAGAGCCTGTGGTCCTTGACACTCATGTGAAAGGGAAGAGAAGACCAGTGCAGTAGGAGAAAAACCTGTGAGGGAGGGTTCTGGAAACTTTCTGAGAGAGTGTGCCAGGCTGTGTGTGGGGCCTTTTCACGTCCACTACCCCCTCAGTAACGCCGCTGGGCCCTGTGAGGCTCATGGTATATTGCAGGAAGAAGGCTCTGAGAGGGCATAATCCTTCTGCTTTAGCTTTTGGCAACTGAAACATGCAATTTCTTGATGATTATCCTCATTTTGCAGCATGGTGCTCTTACTTAGCATCTGCTGAGCACAGCCCTCAAGTAGTGGGAGATAACACATGTGTGCCTCCTCCAAGTTCAGGGGCTCAGGAAGGAAGAGGAAGTCACCAGTGGTTCAAGTGGATTATTCCTGATGCTCCCAGGTTTTGCGAATGTTAGGAACTATTGTAGAATGCAGTAATTTCTCTGGGCTCTTTTTAAAGCGAGCAAGTGCTATTAAATCAGAAATTTTACCTTTATTTGAATTAAGAAAAATTCAAACATGTACCCTCTATATGCCAACAATTGGATGGTGAAATATTCTGCAACCATTACAAATGATGTTTATGAAAAGAAGGGAACAGCATGGAAGAATACTTTTGTTTTAAAGTTTAACAGACTATAACACTGCATATTCAAGAGGTCACAACCATGTAATCTAAACAAAACAGATATTCAGGAAAAAATCCAAACATTATAAATAATCTGCTAAATTATTAATAGTGGTTTTCTTTGGTGGTGGAAAAATAAAAAATTTATATCTTTTCCCTGCTTTTAAGTATTTTCAGCATTTTTGTAATGAGTATATTCTCTATTATTTTAGAGCAGTGTTGCTCAACAGAACTTTCTACAACAATGGAAATGGTCTACATTTGTACTGTCTAATTCATACCCACTAGCTACACATGGCTACTGAGCACTGGAAATGTGATTAATATGACTGAGAAACTGGATTTTTAGTTGTACTAAGTAATTGTTAATTTAAATTGAAATTCAATTAGCCACATAAGCCTAGTGACTACTATATTTGACAGTGAAATTTTTTGTTCTTCTGTTTTATTTTGTTTTGTTTTAGAGATGGAGTCTCATTCTGTGGCCCAAGCTGGAGTGTAGCGGTGTGGTCTTGGCTTACTGCAACTTCCACCTCCCGGGTTCAAGCCATCCTCCCACCTTAGCCCCCAGAGTAGCTGGGACTACAGGGGTGCATCACCACACCTGGGTAATTTTGTATTTCTGGTATAGACGGGGTTTCACCATGTTGGCCAGGCTGGTTTCAAACTCCTGACCTTGGGTTATCCGCCTGCCTTGGCCTCCCAAAGTCCAGGGATTACAGGTGTGAGCCATCGTGACTGGCCCTGACAGTGATGTTTTAAAGGGCAAAAAAAAATATATATATAGGAGAGCATGAATTATATCTAAATAAGGCTGTTAAATTAATATAAACATTTAAAATGTTCTCACTATATTCTGTTTAAAATTTAATAGTAATGTAGGAATGAGTTTGGATTTCAAAATAGAGAATATAGACTCAGCAGAATAAAGTACTGGAATTTTTATTTAAATCGCATAATTTCTAGCACAATAAAAATCGATCCAGCATTGAGGTTGTTCATGCCTGAGTTCAGTTTTAGTTTAAGAAGAAATAGTAACCTGAACATGATGAGATGTGTTCTATAACAGCTTCTATTATTATGAGTGACATTCTTTTATGTATATGTCTTGATCTTTACACAGGAGTTTATATCATGTGAGTAATATTTTTTGAGGTGGAAGCAAAGTTTATTAACCCCATTTAATAGATGAAAATGATGAGAACCATGAATGTTCAGTTCCCAAAGTCACGAAACAAGAAGCAAAATCAAAGCCCCTTAGTTCTTGAAGCCCAGAGGATTTTATTATCTTTCACAATATGGAGAAAACAGTTTCTGATCAATGGTAGTGGAAAGGGGACTTCCCCAAGGAACTGGAAAGATTTAAGATGTGCTGGTTTTGGTTAAGTTCTTTCAAGGAAGTTGTTTTTTTGGTAGGGCTTTGTTTTGTTTTTGTGTTTTTGGCTTCTAGAGCTGTTACATGATCAGTCCTCAGAAGTCAGGGCACTGTGTATCTATCCAAGGTTGCTTTTTTATCTGGTGGGATCTGAACCTTTAGGCTTTCCGTGGGAATGCCAAGCCCCAAACCCTTGTCTCTTCATGTGACCTGCCACTGGGTCCCCAGCCCCAAAGTCCCCTCCCCTTTCCTTATCTCTGCCACATGCAGTTCCTGTTGCCAGATGGAGAGGTAGTAACCATGATGCCACATGTAGAAGTTTGGGTTTAGAGAGATTTATAAAGGTGCCGAGCTTCCCCTGGATGATGCTCCTGGGTCAGGCACAGTGGACACGGCCTCAGAGACATGGCTGCAGATTGAATAGAGGCTGGGCCGCCTCTGTGTACGCCATTGTCTGGGTGGCCGCGAGTGTTTGCTCTGAGCAGCAGTCAGCAGTGCAACTGAGCACAAATGAATCCCCTGAATGTTTTCAAACCTAAAGTCTCAATCCCTTTTGTTTCAAATTCTAGGGGAGAGTTGGAGCCAGTTATGATTTTTTTGAAAAAATAAAAAATTGGTTCACCCATCTGTCAGAGCCGCCAAGAAATATTCACACGAGTGGGACTATCCAAAAAAATGAAGAGTAGCTGTTTTCCAAGACCGATCTCTGGAACTCTCTCCCTCCCCTTACAGAACCACTTCCTCTCCTCAAATCTCACTTTAAAACCTTCCTGTTTGCTTTAGCCTATGACTGACTCAGGCCCCATTCATCTTTCTTTCCTCTCTCCTCATGACCACATCCTTCCACTCTCCCCTCATCATCCACTGTGAGAACACTCCCCTGCCTCTTTCCTCCCTCCATTTTCTAGCCCCATTGCCTGTTACCCTGTAGTGACAGCAGGTATGCAGGGGTTCCTTGCTGACCTGCAAGAGTCACCTCCCCATCCAGACATGTTTGTGAGCATGAAGGTCCTCTGCACGGGTGCCTGTTCCTTTGCCTGGTTCTTGGAGGAGGAGATAATGAATTTCAGTGGTACTTCTGCCTATAGAGGGACTTTGCAAGGTGTATTTCAGGAGTTACAGATTCAGAAACTGGAGAAGCAGAACACAAACAGACCTTGTAATAGACCAGCAAAGATACCAATTCCCCGCTGTGTTTCCCTTGAGATACTTCAGGTAAATCCTGAAGGAGAGATGGGGATAAAACAGGCCAAACTGGAGCTGTTATTTTGCCTGCAGAATAGAATTCTAATTGTCTCAGCTGAGCTTCTTATTTCCCCCAAGTAATGAGAAACGTAAATTCCTCAGCAAAGTTCCAAGGCAGAGTTGACCCTGGGAAAACAATCCCAGCATAAGCTCAAGTGTTTGAATTCTTTTTGTTCAGGTTGTAGACTCAATACTTTCTAACCACTGTGGTTGGTTTCAGTTGTGTTTTCTGAACAACAGGCATGCTGTGGGTTTTCCCACAATGCATTCCTGTCCTCCATTCCAAGATGGTGTCTTTTCCCACAAACATGGAGGCAAATTGGTCTGTTCCTATCTCCACACTGACCTCATTGCGGGCTCCAAAAGAAATGCTTCCAGAACCAAGCAACCCAGATTTTAACTGAGAAGCCATGTTCTTGTCTCAGTTTTGATCTTATTGCAATAATAACAGCTGCCATTTTCCTGCCACGTTATTGTTTCCAAAGCACATTTGTACTTGCTTGTAATGTACGTCAGGCAGGTGTGAGTGTTTCTGTTTTACACTTAAAGGACTAAGGTTGACATGACTTGTCTAAGGTCACAGAAGTTGAGTGGTGGGATGGGTATCCACATGAATATTCTTTAGAAACCATGGCCCAGCTGGGCACAGCAGCTCATTGCTGTAACCCCAGCACTTTGGGAGGCTGAGGCGGGCAGATTGACTGAAGTCAGGAGAGTTCGAGACCAGCCTGACCAAGATGGTGAAACCCCGTCTCTACTAAAAATACAAAAATTAGCTGGATGTGGTGGCAGGAGCCTCTGATCAATCCCAGCTACTTGAGAGGCTGAGACAGGAGAATCGCTTGAACTCAGAAGGCTGAGGTTGTAGTGAGTTAAGACCAGGCCATGGTACTCTATCCTGGGCGACAAGCGTGAAACTCCATCTCTCACACACACACACACAGAAAAAGAAAAGAATATGAAAAAAAGAAACCATGGCCCAATCAGAGGCATCCCCAAGTGAGAATACACATCCAGTGTGTGGAGAGGACTTCCATACCTTGAGTGATGCTAACAGCACCTCGAGGGGGCTTTCCAGGGGATGGTGGGCTTTTTGCTTGATTTTTGGAAGCAGATCTTTTTTTAAAAATCACACCCGACTTACTAAAAAACTTAAAAGTGAGTGAGTCAGTATTACCCATGCTCACCCGAACAGGTGGCAGAGTAATGGAGCTCAGAACTGCGCCTCTATTTAAGATGACCTGGGATGAAGTCTGGAACAGTTAATTCTGCCTTGTGAAAAACAAATAATGAAAAGCATGTTTTTAATAAAAACCTGGAAAAACAAGTAAAAAGCAACTGCCCAACCTCCCTTCCCTAATTTTTGAGGGAGATGTACAATGTAAATATATATGTATGTAAGTTTGTATTTAATTGCGTATTTGTTTTTCTCCTTCACAGGATCTTCTCTCTGAAGGCTAGGGGCTGGACCTGCACTCGGATGGCAATTCAGGTCCAGTTCCTGAGATCTTGAACTCCAAATGATTTGGGGAAATGGATGGGGAGAGAGTTGCTAGCACCGATGCTGAGGCTGTGAGAGCCATTTCTGAGTGGAGGTGAGGAAACAGGGAGTGATGACCATGAGGGTCGTTGTGTGGTGCCTCCAGACCACACCTGGGAATGGTGACTTGGGAACTGGCTGATGTGTTTATTTGGTGTGAGTTCAACTACAGCCCTTAGGGCAATAACATGATCCTTGTAAAACAGACCCCCCAGGCTGGGCCTCAGCCTGCTTGCTGCCAAACAAGGGTGGTGACCTAATAAATGAGACATGGCTGTCAACTCTCTATAAATGGTGGGTTCATTCACTCTGTGGATGACACAGCCTCTTCTTTCCCCTTCTGTGTCAGTCCCATTGATTGCTTTTAAACCACCTTCTTGCTTTGTGCTGCTTCTTTCAGATGAAAAGGAAGGGAAAAGAGATTTAATTTCCATGCCCACTAACCACTCCAACAGAAGGCTTTGTGAAGAAGGAAGTAAAAGCTATAGGTAGGAATTAGAAAAAACCATTTCTAGTTATAAGAGTAGCAGAAAAAGACCTGAACTTCAGAGTGGACCACAAATGAATATGAATTAGTAACACAGATCTCTTTTCAAAAGTCAACACAAAATGAGACTGTGTGTTTTGCAAAAGCAGCTGTTCTTGCCACTGGGCTTATGCTTGTGATTCTTTCATGTGTCACAGCCAGACCTAGGAAATTCCCTGGAAAGTCCCCTCCATCACATGCCTGCAGTTTTTCCATTTGAGTGTAATTTTGTTGGACCTTGAAAGACTTTTTGATCTTTGGGAAGCTCTTATCACCAAATGGATCTTTCTGCAGGAAGGAGACAGAGGAGAGAGGTGGACTAGGAGATGGGAGCCTGGGCCCCAATTTCAATTCAACTATTACCAGCCAGGCAGCTTTAGGCAAGTCTAGTCATTTCCTTTGCCTCAGTGGCTCTCTGTAAAATGGAATTCTATGAGGATGATGAAAGTAAAAACATTTGCCACTATACTTGTTAATGCCCAAGAAATGATTCCTTCCTTCCTGCCTGCCTCAGTTTTCCATCCGTAGACAAGAGATTCAACTAGAATATCTTTGAGGTCCCTTTAGCTCTAACACTCTGATTCTGTTGGCAGCACCTTGAGAAATTTACAACAAACACCCCAGTGAGTCTTAATCTATTAGATCCCATTCAGTTCTAATAGTGTTGTGATTTTGACTTTGTAGCATAACTTTTATTTTCTCTCTTCCTGATTTGTTATATATTATATTTAATAGTTTTTGCTTTTTAAAGTTGCCACTAATTCTTTGTGGAATAAGAAAAAAGAATAACTGGCCGGGCGCGGTGGCTCATGCCTGTAATCCCAGCACTTTGGGAGGCCGAGGCGGGTGGATCCTGAGGTCAATAGATCGAGACCATCCTGGTCAACATGGTGAAACCCCGTCTCTACTAAAAATACAAAAATTAGCTGGGCATGGTGGCGCACACCTGTAGTCCCAGCTACTCGGGAGGCTGAGGCAGGAGAATTGCTTGAACCTGGGAGGCGGAGGTTGCAGTGAGCCGAGATCATGCCATTGCACTCCAGCCTGGGTAACAAGAGCAAAACTCCGTCTCAAAAAAAAAAAAAAGAATAAAGAATAACTAACTGGTGGAAAGAATGCATATAGCTGAAAGCCAAAGAATGATAGATAACAATAATGCTAATATAATACTACTGCTAATAAAAATAACTCCCTTTATTGAACACTTAACTATGTGTGAAGAACTGTGCTAAGCACTTTATAAACATTGGGTCATTTAATCCTCACAGTAACCCCAGGAAGCCATACTTCTCATCTCCATTTTACAGGTGAGGAGACTGAGTCTTAGAGAAATCAAGCAACTTGTCCATGGTAAAGCTGAGCTGCAAATTCAGGTTGGGATAACTTGGAGCAGTGGTGTGCTGGCAAACAGGCACTCAAAACCAAACGCAAAACCAGAACTCCAAATCCCTGGTTTGCAGCATTTACTGATTTTCATGGTATAAACCCTCCCACTGTGGCTGAATTCAAGTTACCAACAGTTTAAAACCAGCTCAAAATTTTTGAAAACTACCTCACTACCAGGGAATACCAGGAATTATATAATTCACTGTCTTTATTTTAACAATCCACTCTTGCAAGCCAGTTGGAGCCAACCCCAACACATCCCAGAGAGAACCTGTATTGACCACTAAACTACACTATCTCTTTGTATCAGAGGCTGGAGCTAGGGATGATAAAAAAAAAAAAAAATCAAGCAACAACAACAAAAAAAAATAGCAAGAAAGGGGAGATAGTTATAGTTATGGACAGAGAACATAAGGAGATTTTGTATCAACATTGATGGAGCTGGAGGCCATTGTTCTAAATGAATTAATGCAGAAACAGAAAACCAAATACTGCATGTTCTCATTCATAAATGGGAGCTAAACACTGAGCACACATGGACATAAAGAAGGGAACAATAGACAGGACAACTTGAGGGTGGAAGTTGGGAGGAGGGAGTGGATTGAAAAACTAAGTTTATTAGTTGGGTGACAAAATAATCAGTATACCAAAACCTTGAGACATGCAATTTACGTATCTAACAAACCTTCCCCTGTATGCTCTGAACCTAAAAGAGATGTTGGAAAGCAAACAAAAATAAAGTAAGGAGATGACAAATTCATTCATTCACTCCTGCATTCATTCATTCCACAAAGGCTTTTTGGGTACCAGCTAAGTACCTGGACTTGCTGTATGCACTTTGGATATAGACATGAGTAAGATGAGCAGGTGACCAAGCCTAAAGAGCCTGGAGTGTGTTGGTGAGAGAATGACGTGCACACAAATGATCGAACACATGATGTGTAGAAGTGTGTGCGTGAGTCCAGGGGAACCCGGTGAGGGAGGAATTAATTCTACCTGGAGATCCTTAAAGGATGGAGTTCCGAGTGACACAAATTTGGCTTCCTTTCCAATTTGTGGGAGAGTTTCCCTCACTAGAGACATGTGCTCAGCTTAGCTTTCAACATTTTGTAACTAAATAGAGAAACCAAAGATGGGCCAGAAGAGGAAGAATGACACAGAAAGTTTGCTCCTTGGAGTTAGGGATGCTGTTGCGTCACCCCCATATTACTGACGCCTGGTACCACAGAGTTGGCGCTAAGTGACTATTTGTTGACTGGATGAATCACTGATGAATAATGATTTGTAAGCTCCAAAGAAGGTTGTTTGTGGAAAGAAGACCCATGATAGCAGGAAAACATGCAATGTGAGTAGTGATTCCTAAACATTGAAGGAGTGATTTTCAAGTAATAGAATAGACACCATGCATGGGCAGGGACTCCAGATGCCCCAGGTGGAGCTAAACTGCTCGGAAGAGAGGAACGTCACTACCTGGTGTGCAGGTGGGGATAGCCTTGCTGGGGTTGGTCTGGGGATAGGGTAACTCTCTGGCTCCCACTCTGAGAAGCAGAAGGAGATCTGGCCACAAGTCCTCAAGATGTGTTGAATTTGGGAATACCTCACTGCTAGGGAATACCAGGAATTATCCAATTCACTGTCTTCATTTTAAAATTCTGTATGGGAGAAGCTAAAAAGTGAAGTTGAGGGGCTTTAGTATATTTCATTTGCATTGGTCCGAAAACCAGGGGTGATTTGAATATTCTTCCCTGAGACTTGACTGTTTCTATCAGAAGTGGATCTACATTTGCCTTTTGGATATTGTATTCCTCATGATAATCAATGCCTTACGTTCATAGACAGTTCCTAGTTTCCAAAGACTTTCCCTATAATAACATTTGCTCCATCCTCAAAACAGTCAAATGCAAAGGCCTCCATTTTACTAGAGGAGAAAGTATGACTCAAAGAAGTCAAATGACTCGCCCAAGGTCACACAGCTAAATTCTAGCAGAGCAAGGGCCCAAGATAGTAAATTCTAAATGCAGAGACCTTCTTCTTCTCCCAGTTTCCTGCCCGACAATGCCTGTCTCCTGGAGTGAGCAAGTCTTGGCGGAGGCACAACAGCAGCTACAAGTGGTCCTCCCAACCATTCCAGGACTCCTTTTTCCACAGTGAAACATTGAACCTGCCTGCCCCAGTTTCTCAGCCATCTCATGACTTGATGAGCAATTGCTTTAACTCTGACAAAATTAGGCCACCTCCAACCTAAATGTAACCTGTTTTTAGAGTGAGACCCTGCACAGAGGCAGCTCTTTTCCTGAAAGGATAACAAAAGCATGCTTTTGTGTGTATTTCACTTGATGGAAAGGAATCCCCAGTGACGCCGTTTTTTCCCCCTGAATTCTCCCAAGTCCAGAATATATCCAAGTTTCCAATATTATCTCAGAAGAGCCACTCATCTATGAAGATGGCCGCATTGTCTTCCAGCTCGGTAGACAGAGTGTGTGCGAGAGAGAAGGTGAGGGGGTGAGAATAGGGGTGTGGGGAGAGGGCAAGGGAGGCCGAGGGCAGAGGAGGAAGCCATGAGAGGAGAAAATGTGTGCAGATAAATGCTGACAAGAGAAGGAAAGAGACAAAAGGGCCAGCCCTGACTCTGGGGTCCCATCTGCCAGGGACACTTTCAGCTGATTCTCTTTAGGGCCTGTCAAGGTCTGCCTGGCGAGCTGTCACTTCTCATCACTTGGCTCTCACTGAGCATCTTTGTGTCATTACTGTCATGAAGAGGCCTGGCAACTGGCAAAGAATTTCCTGGGGCGCTACCTGATCCACCATTATTTGCCTTTTATCATCTTAGCCGAGTAGTTACGCTGCTGTCAGAGGTAATGGAGACCATGCCACTAAGAAAATTGGCCGTAATTTATTTATCAATTGTTTCTGTATACCACAAAAGCGGACTTCTACTTTACGGCTGGGTCTAAGGTATTTGAGAGCCCCCGAAGTTCATGGTTTTCCGGTATTCTAAGTTCTACTTATGGCCTTTCCTGTAGATGACACACAACACCGCCCTTGTGGCTTGCAGTCGGTTTTCTTCTTTGCTTTCTTTAGTCACAAATCATCCTGAGGCATCCCTTAAGTGCATTTGTATTGTTAAGTGCACCGGCTTGATTTGGTGTTAATTCAATTTGAGTGCCCTTAATATCTTGCGGGGGTGATGCAATGCAGGCTGCTTGTACCTTGTAAAATCGGGTCCCAGGTCTGCCTGCGAGCAAAGCACCTTTCCCATAGCCACTTACCAAAGTTGCTGATAAAATTTTCATAAGGGAACCTTTTTAGTCTGACCCTATTTTGTTATTCTACCATTAAGTCTCAGAGAACTGAGCTGGCTTCTAGTGACAGCTTATCACATTCTCCATTATTGCTGCCTGCCCAGAGAGCTGGCTGCCTATATGTAGTGCAAGCTCCCTCCCTCCTGACAGCTTCTGGGCCATTCTGGGAAAAGCTTGTGGGCCAGCTCCTTGGGGCTAATGGGAGATTGTCTCTCTGTGGGTGCCAGAGAACTGAGCTCTCTTCCTGATGAGCTGGTTCCTTTCACCTTGGAAAGCTCGAGGGGCCCTAAAGGATGAGGAACCTGAGTGAAGAGAAAGGGAGCAGTGAAGGGTGAGCTGAAGTGGAGGAAGAGTTACAAAGCACTTTCCTTAAAACAGCACAGAATGCAGCCAAGACCATGTCAACACCACTGTGACACACAACTTGAGGCAGAGGATTAGACCAGGTATTTGTCTTTGAAATATTTGCCTTAGAAACCTGGTGACATTATTCACTCAAAGAGAACTCCAAAATCGTGAGCCAGTTGTCCCAGGGTTGGCATCTGAACTCAGTGGCTTATCTGCTTTGTGACATTGATCAGTTTTCCCATCTGTGAAATGGATTTGTATGTATGTTTGTGGGTGTGTGTGTGTGTGTGTGTGCGTGCACGTGCGCACATGTGCTGATAAACTAAACACATGAAGACCACCAAAAACATGGTTATCTTAGAATCCAGGAGGCCCTCAAAGGTCAAGGTGAGAAAGCTGGTTCAGACAGTGCAGAAATTATCTGGGTACCAAAGACGAGAAAGAGATAAGTCTAGAAACTTGGTCTTCTGATACTTGACCTAATCTAAGTCCTTTCCATCTCTCTCACTGTCTCCTCAATGCTGTCCATGGACATCAGGAACTTGAGTAGATTTGGGGTGCACCAGGCTACTTTGTACTTCCTTGATGACAAGATTTCTTTCTTTCTTCCTTTCTTTTTTTTTTTTGAGATGGAGTCTCGCACTGTCACACAGGCTGTAGTACAGTAGTGCGACCTCGGCTCACGGCAATCTCTGCCTCTCGGGTTCAAGCAATTCTCTTGCCTCAGCCTCCAGAGTAGCTGGGACTACAGACATGCACCACCATGCCCAGCTAATTTTTTTGTTTTTTTAGTAGAGACAGGGTTTCACCATGTTGGCCAAGATGGTCTCGATCTCCTGACCTCATGATCTGCCCACCTCAGCCTCCCAAAGTGCTGGGATTACAGGTGTGAGCCACCACGCCCAGCCCGACAAGATTTCTTAACTGCAGACTAACCTCTTCTAGGTCATTCTTCCTTGTTTTGTTGGCTGTGTCTGAGGAATAGCTTAAATCTGCCTAACAATGTGAGCATTGCCCATGCCTGTCTGCTGGTGGTCTGATAAACAGAACTGAGAGGTGCTCTTTCAAAAGAGCATTTTAAAATTATTGCTCACTGTAGATGTCATAAAAGTATAGATAAAGTGCAAATACTACAGCAAAAGGGAAAAATCACCTGTAATGCCACCTATAACTGCAAAGTCCGGCGCTGCTTTCTTCCTCTTTTTCTATGTGCACACACTTGCTCACTTCTTCACCTGCTTGCTCTCTTCAGTATACTGTGATTCTGGGTTCAAACTCTGGCTCCACCACTTGAGCAAGTTATTTAATTTTTCTAGCGTTGTTTTGTCATCTGTTAATTTGGCTTCATGATGGTGCCTTCCTCAACGTGGGTGTTAAGAGAAGCAAATGAGTGAATCTACGTAAATCATGGTGCCTGGCACGCAGTCAACATTGTACAGAGATTCCTTTAGGATGACGATCATATACCACAGAAACCCGGGATCATATGATGTATCCTGCCAGAGGTACAGTTTTTATAGGGGCAGTTTCTTTGCTCACACCCAGCTGCTAGACTCTAATGCTTTCTTAAACTGCTCACTCAAACAGGGTCTCAAGTCAGGAGGAGTCCCGCCCACCTCCTGGTTCAGCACGCCATGGTGAGCATCATGTCTTCATCTCTGAAAAGGTGTGGCAGAAGCTAACACCCGGCAGCCTAATTCCTGGAGGGGTTGTTAGACCCATTTTATAAAAGGGGGGATTAAGACTGAGCGGGTCTTCAAGTCCCTGAGGTGGACTTCCCTGCCCCACGTAAGTGACTGGGCCACTCCCTGGCCTGGGTGTACACTTTTATTACACTGGAAATTTCAGCCCACATGTAGCAAGGAGTACAGTTAAAATCACGAGAAAAGACTAATTCTCAGAAAAAACGTCTCATGGAAAAAAAGCTCTGAGTGGCTTGGTATATGTGTATGTGTGTGCAGATATGTGTGTGTATGACCATTTTGGTGTTTTTGAGCATCTTTTTGTGAGATTTAAAAATGCTGGGAGTGAAAAATGATCATTTCAAACCAGACTGGGCCAGGTAGTATCATCAATCAGGAAGGAAGATCAGAGTCCAGTGGCGTGCATGTGCATGTGCATGTGCACGTGTGTGTGCGTGGAGACCATATGCACGAAGAAGGCACCAGTGTGTGAGCCTCTCGGGGTGAGCAGGAGGAGCAGATGTGGGCCCAAGGAAGGGAGTAGATTTTGATGAAATATTGGCTAACGCTTGGGGCACCGAAGGAGAAGCAGCTCTGGTCAGGGAACTGTGCTACATTAGAATTTATAATAGATTAGCTTAGCTGCCCCTTGATCTTCAAGGGTATTTGGGGAGCTGAGGACGAGGCGTTTCTGCCTTGATTTTCACAGTGAGAGGAAACCTCTGGAACACTATTCCCAGCCTTTCCTTTTGCACAGCCTAAGGCGGTGAGAGCTTGCTGTTCACACCCCCACTCGGGTCATTTGAAGGAGGCTGACAGTGCCCAGGAATGCTGACATGTTTCAAAACATCACACACAAAAGAACCTACTCAGATTCCTGAGGGGAGTTGCTGTCGGCCCTTCCCAAGCTGGATTCTAACATTGGATGTGATTGCCAGGGCTCCCCCTCCCACAGCAGGGGCACAAAATCCATATTCATTCTGTCTGTCTGCCAGACTCTCCTCTCCCTGTCCATCTGTCTGTCTGACTCTGCCTTGCTCTCTGAGGGTGTGTGCTCTCATGAAAAGGAGAGCGCGCAGGGATGTTCCAGATGAGCTGCTGCCAGCCATGTAGCTTTAAACTCCAATGAGCTGAAGCGGCCGGGAAAGAAAGAGTGAGGGGTGAAGTCTGGTTTGATGTCTTGGCACACTGGGGAGATGATTCATATAACATGAGCCCCTCGGGGTCCGTGGTTAAATCCCAGCCTAACATCCCCGGCCGGACTGGAACTCTGAAGTCCAGCCAAGGAGTGTTACTGGTCCTGCCTCTGCAAACAATTGGTGGGTCAGAGGCAAAGGGCAGGGGAGGGGTGATTTTTCACTGGAAAAATTACCTGCTGGGAAGGAAGGAATCATATGATGTGTGTGGTGGGGACATCCAGCCAGGGGGGACCTGGCTCTCACATTACAAGCTCCCTTGCAGAAGCCAGAGGGACTTTTTATTGCCGGTGGGGCCTGAGGGCCCAGCAACAGTGGCTCTGGCCTGGTTCTGGCAGGCTGGAGAAGGGATAGGGGGCTGTGAGCCGGGCTTTGGATGCCAGGGTGGGTGTGAGGAAGGAGGGAGGCCAGGGATGGGCGTGACTGTCTTCAGACTCACAAACTAAGGCAGGAGGAAGACAGAGGAGAGAGAAGCCACCTGGTTTCCTCTCTGGCCAAGTGCCACGGGGCCTCTATGGCACCTACTTTGGCCTTTGCATGACATTTAACATGTGTGGCCACCCACCTCCACCCTCGGCCTCTTAAACATCCTCTCCTCCTGGACCCACTCTCCCCCTCTCTCACAGCACCCGTTCCCTTTTTATGTGGAAGTCATGTAACCCTCTGTCTTCAGGGGAAGCCCCTTTCCCGATGCTTAGTTAATGTGAGTTTGGATGGGGACTTTGGGGCTAGTGACCCAGGCCCAGCCAGAGTGACTGGTTTAAGGAACAGCCCTGTGAGCAAGTGGGGTCCAATCGGAGCCAAAGCTGGAACTTCTGTTGGAATTTTTGGGACAAGGAAGTTCCTTTTCAATTGGGGTTGATGAAACGAGAGGCTAAAAGCCTGGAGCTTCTGGGAGCCATCACAGTGAGAGAGGCTGTGCAAAGGCGAATCCACAGGAGAGGGAGGCAGAGAGAGGAGATGAGTTCCTATAGCGTAGTTTGAGCCCTGAGACCTCATCAGAGCTGAGGTCAGGATCTACTCCTGGACTCTTCAGTCATGCTGCTAACCAAGACATCACCCCCATTGTCCTCCACTGGGTCTGAGTGTTTCTGTTCCTGTAACTGCCAGCGTTGTGGCTGTGTCAGCTCGGCACACCTTGTTGTCTGTCCCTGCATGGAGTCCCCTCCTCCCCTCTCCACTGCTGATCTGTGTCTTCCCCATAAGCTGAGCCCTGGACCTTCAGTGTGTGCTCCTCTCTCCTTGCTCCCTCAGACTTTCCAGCCACTCTTGTGGTGTCAGCTGTGCCCTCTGTGGAATGGCCCCTCTCTCGCAGTTGTGTTTTTGCTTAGATCTTCTTGCCTGTCCCTGGTGCCTGGCCATCGAGAACGTATTCCCACATGAACGTCGTGCACGAGAACACGAGCACAGCTGGCTGAGGTCGGTATGTTTCTCCTGCTCCTTGGGAAGAAGAAGCTTCCCTTCCCAACCCTGGAATCCCATCCCCAGGGTTCAAAGTTAGAACTGTCTTTGATTCCTTCTTCTCTTTGTCTGGCCCCCTAGAGTGAATCATCCATGAGGTCTTCCAACATTTCTCTTCTGTATGTTGCTTTTTGCTTCATCCACTGGCATTCTCTAGTCTAAGAGCTCATTGGGATTCCCTAAAAGCCTCTTATTTCCCTTAAAATACCCATTTCAAACTGACCCAACCCATATCCCCCCAATTTAACTCCCCTAAATCCCTCTTTCCCCTCACAGCTCGCCTGAACAAACCAAATTCCTCACTGTTGCGTATCATCACGTGCCTCCAATACTGGCTTTCATGAGGCATGAGAGCCACAGGAGCATCTTACTGGAATATTAATTTGACTGCAAGAATTCTTAGAGTGTGGGAAGTATTTTTACTAGAAAGTAATTTAAAACTATTTTTATATTAAAGCAGACTGATCTTATAAGGTAGAATGCAAAGCTCATACAGATTAATCAGAAATTCTGAGATTGTAAAAGTCCACTTCCAGTCACCACCCAAGATTTCCAGACTTTCTTTCCTCTGCTCTTGGGTAGAAAGCTTGGAGAAGCACCAGCATGTTGAGATCAGTATAACCTCCTCGATTTGGTGCCTACCTCTCCTGGTCCTACGTTAACCTATGCTCCTCCTGGTCTTTCCTTATTTCCTGGAGTCAGGGAGCTCCTCTGGCTGATTTTTAAACTGAGTACTTGTGTTCTCAACTCTGTTTCATGCCACAATCACCTTTTCCAAATGACCTTTGTTCTCCTTTTCCTTATCTCACCTTGAGTAGCCTCTGGAATCCACATCAGCAAATGGATTTTTTGACAAGAGTCACTCCCTAGCTCAAAACCCTTACAAAGCTCATATCTAGCTGTGGGATGAGTCGTGGCACCTTCACATGGCACACTGGTTCTTAGCTGATCTGGTTTCTTCCTGATCTGATGCTTTAGCCTCAACTCTTCTTGGGACGGCATCACGATCAAGAACGACTGGAGCGCCCCCAAAGCACAGTGCTCGCTCCACCGTCTTAGTCCTCTCTATTCCCCTTTCCTTCTCATCCTATTCATTAAGATGCAGCTCAGGTATAATACTTTTCTTGGCCGTCTTCCCTGAGATACCCTAGCCCCCTGAGCAGAGCTACATCTTAGCATCAATCTTTCTTACCACTTTCTCTATTCACCAGATTGTGGGGTCCTTAAATTCAAGAAGTAATCACCTTAGTTATTCCTGGTGTCTCTTGAATAAATTAATTAATGAACAAATAAGAGATATCAGGAGACTCATGATTTAGTCTCTGTCCACATGACCTTGGGCAAGTCACTTTACCTCTAAGCCTGTGTATTATTTTTTAGTCAAATCTGTTTCATGCACACAATTTTAAAAAATTTCTATTTGCCTAAGGGCCCCTGGAAGCATCAATGGTTGCATAGATTAGAGCTGAAGACTGGGTCTGGGACTGAGGCTGCAAATAAGGAACTGGAGTCAGTGGATGAGTAGGACCAAGGTTGCACAGAAAAGGATGCACACAAAGGATGGCACAGCTTGCACAGAAAAGCATCCATATACTCGGGTTTGGTGTAGGAACCCTGGGTAACAGTCCACAGAGAGACAATTTTAGGTTAGACACACATATTTTTATTCATATTATTCTGTCCCTGCCTGCAGGAAAGCTATTATGTTTTTAAATTCCAAGAGCTTTTACTTGCTAAAAGTTCCTTTTACAAGTACTCTGCTCTTGTTGCATGGAATCTTCTCTTATCTCTCTTAATTATGTTGCTTAAAAACATAATTAATATTTGTTTTGTTCTCTATGTCCTGTAAATTTCTTTTGCTCTCTGCTGTTAGGCTAGTGGTTTTCCTTAAGTGCCAAGAATAGAAACCATTTATATTTATATTTATATTTATATTTATTTAAGAATGAGGGACCAGAAGCTAATTGAGAAACCTATGTGCATGGTGGAACTGTTGGGTGGCAGACCTCACCAAATCGTGATCTGGCAGCCGATTTGATAGAGGCCCCATGTCAGCATAGGTTGGTCATGAGTCAGGCACTGTTCTCACCTCCATGCTCAGTATCTCTGGGTTAGTCCTCCTTTTTCTTTTTTTTATTGTACTTTAGGTTCTGGGGTACATGTGCAGATCATGCAGGATTGTTGCATAGGCACATACATGGCAATGTGGTTTGCTGCCTCCATCCCTGTCACCCATATCTGGCATTTCTTCCCATGTTATCCCTTCCCAACCTCCCCATCCCCTGCTGTCCCTCCCCTATTACCCCCTCAACAGACCCCAGTGTGTGATGCTCCCCTCCCTGTGTCCATGTGTTCTCATTGTTTAACACCCGCCTGTCAGTGAGAACATGCAGTGTTTGATTTTCTGTTCCTGTGTCGTTTGCTGAAAATGATGGTTTCCAGATTCATCCAGTCCTCCTGTTTTAATTGGAGTTGTCAGTTTCTGTGATCCCCTGTCCTTCTAATTACCTGTCTGAGGTGAGGTAAACAAAGTAGATAAGGGACCAGGAAGAGGGGCTTCAAAATTTCGCTTAACCTTCTTGTCTTTGGTAGAGTATCTCACTGCTGCTGTCTGCCTTGCCTGATTCCTGTAAGGCCAGAGCCCTTCTAGAACAATCTAGCCACAGTGCAAACTGCTTTTCTTTTGCTTGGATATGGGGTAGGTCAGTTGCTTAGTATCACTGGGCTGGAAGAAAGGATGGGAGTTTCTTCTTTCTCCATATAAGGACTTTCAATCAGTCCCCTTATTTTAGACCCCCAATTTCTGAAATACCCATTGCCTTCAGTTACTGAGCCTTTCCCGTTCTTTGGTGCCTTAAACCTTGCTTCTTGTTGGTTTCCACGCCATCTACCACCATCCAATTAAGCTTTATATTTATCCCCTTTGATAAGCTATCTCCAACAGCATTCTCTTTGTCCTGCTGGATATATGTCTTGAAAACTAACTGTACTGGCATTTTTGTGAAGTTTTATGAGGAGTGGGCAGAGACAGAATTAAGTGTACATTCTGCCATGTTGAACCAAAAGTTGGGCTAATTTCCTGTATTTAAATTTCCATTATTACTTTACAAAAACGTCTTTGGATTCAGTTAGCATAATTCTGTGCCACTGAGTGTCCAGGGTACTAGAAGTACATTGGTGACAACCACAGACACTGTTTTTGCCTCACAGTGCTTACCGTCTAGTGGGGAAGATAAAGAATTAATAGGAAATTCACAAATAAGAAGGGTGCTATGAAAGGACTAATACATTCAAGACTTTGTGGAAGAAAGAACATCTCATCTAAGATGGCTTGGATAAGTAGTGGTTATCTAGGGAAAGAGGTGGAGAAAGATATTCCAGGCAGAAGAACAACAAATATTAGGATTTGAAAGTAAGAGAGTAAAGGCATACATGAAGAATAAAAATAAACTAAAAATTACTGTAGAAAGCATTCCAGAGGGTAAGGAATGAAAAATGGGCTGGAGAGATGAGAAGGTACCAGATCCCACGAGCCTCACAAGCCCTGATATCGGACTTTATTCTGAGGGTGGCAGGAAGCCACCAAATGCTGTAAATACAAAAGTGACTAAATCACTTGTGCTTTTGGGTGCGTGTTGAACTGTTTTCCATTTCTCAGTTTCATCTTTGTTACTTTATACATGCTGAGTCTATATTGTGAGGCACATATAATTTCAATGATGGTTACACGGTTCTTGCTTACTGTTCTTGATTACTTTTATCTTGAATTCCATTTTACCAGATATCGAAATTCATACTCTCCTTCTCAGACTCCTACTATGCAGATGTTGGCATGTCTCCCAGGTTTCCTGTAATACTTTCTCTTTGTTTCTTCC